AGAACTAATTATCTTATCTTTAATAATTTATGTCTACCAATTTCGCACTAATTATCTTATCTTTAATAATTTATGTCTACCAATTTCGCACTAATTATCTTATCTTTAATAATTTATGTCTACCAATTTCGCACTAATTATCTTATCTTTAATAATTTATGTCTACCAATTTCGCACTAATTATCTTATCTTTAATAATTTATGTCTACCAATTTCGCACCAATTAGTGAAAAAGAAAGAGAAATCCCTCATGGAATGTTTGAGGAAAACTTGCTACAATATCCTTATCAAATCATCCCACCATAAATTCTCCGTATTTCAAGCATTTACATCATTAAACTTTAACTTATCAAAGAAAATAAGATATTAGATTCTGTTGATAGAAAGTTACTAGATTTTGTTAATAGAACTATAAAGGGAACCTCAATGGCCTCAGCAATTTCTCGCCCTTGCATATTTTGCAATCGATTAGTATCCATGCAGGTTTTATATATAGTTTTTACTGTATCCATTGCTTTTGAAGTCGTTGACTGCTTTGAATCATAGAGTTCTGAAAATAAAAGATTAATTAATAGAAGTGAGTCTTATGTGATTGCCTTGCTAATACTTACAAAGCCTATTCATGATGTGCCATGTTTATGGACCAGATCCAAAGTCCTTCGTGATGATTTGTCAAATTCTAGGTGTAGACAGAACAAATGATATCACTAACTGGCAATCTTTTAGGACAAAATCAGGTAGAAATACCTTTCATTTTAAGCGCTACTTTCTCACGAATTGATGCAGAAACCTCATACGCACCAAGATCACTTGGAATCGGATGCTCAGATACCCAACGTCCACAAGCATATTCAAAAAAATCATCACATGGATTGACAGTCTGATTCATTGATGAAAGCAAATAGTAAGCTGCTTTTATGTAACCCGGCGAAGTGCCGACTTCCAAATCCTTCACCTTATTCGGCATAATTGTATCTAAAAGTAAAATCATTTGATTTCACGCATTTAAATGCTTATCTTTCACAATTCAAAATTGCATAATCATATTTCAAGGAGTGAAGCATCCACTGATTGCATTGAAAATAAGTAGATAAAAGTGTGCTTCTTATGTAAATATATAACTTTATTTACTTTTTAATTCTGATAATAATTAGAAGTACCAGAAGTAAACTTGCCAGTTATTGCTGGGTGCGATAATGAGAAATCGGAGCAAATAGCTATGAGACATATTGCGAAGAAATGAAAGGCATTCATCATAATTCTTTCAATTACTTCTTTTAAATTGCAATGTTTAGTTATCTGAAATTCAGTAACAAATCTAGAAAATATTTCAAATTTCACAAAAAAAAAAATTATTTCTAAACGCAGTGAAAAAGAAATTATTCTGATATTCACTAAAAAAGAAAAATTGAACGTTTTTTTTACTACGCAAATATGAAAAATTCAACTTTTTTAAATCGTCGTATGAGAATTATTCATAAATAGATATAATGGAAATCGAGTTTTGTTATATTGGAAGTAGAAAGTATATTGACCATCAAGCAGTAGCCTTTTCACATGTGCTACTAATGATTTCTTTACCAGTTAACCCTATTTAAACATTTCCAACAAGGAAGGAGGAGTCAAAGACAGGGAAAAAATCAGTTAAAGTGCGGAAGTGATGAATTAGTTAAAATAAACTTACGAACTTCTCGGTGCATGTACTTAATTAAGTACCAAATAATTCATTCATTAGTCCTTTTTTTTTCTTTCAATGAAATATTTCATTGCACTGTCTTCCATAACAAAATATGATGTAATAAAATGGGGAATGATGGCAGTATGAAGTCATAAGAAGTAGACAATTCCGGTTTCTTTGTTCGGTTGCAGTAAATCGTGTTTTAATTACGGGTTAATAAAACATGTTACAGCAGTGGCGGTTTTGCTGGACAGAAGTACACATTACAATTATACCTGGAAGGACTCAACAATGTCCTGATCACTTATAGAGGGCATTAAATAGTATTTTAATGCCTTTTTACAATGAGTGATCCGTTATGTGAAATATGAGAAGTTTAAACGGAATAATTTCTATCTACAAAACTTTTCAATAAGAAAAATGAAAAAGAATTGGTTCGATCAATATATCTAAATGATTATTAAAGTAGAAAAATGGCTATGATATTTAGCCAATTTTGATAAGCGACAAAAATAAATGAATAATAAATGACTAAATGATTAAAAAATTCAAATTCATTATCATTAAAAACGTACTCTTCGAAATCATTTGATTAACTTGTCTGTTATGTTGCTTACAAATTTATTCTTCATTGTATGTAAAATCCATATTAAAATCATAGAATAGAATAAATATCATCTAAGAAATCGTCAACTAGAAATGCAAAATTAGAAATATTGGCTAAAAATCGAATTCCTGGATTAAAACTGAAAATCAAGATTACTTAGAGTATACACATCGTTAAAATATATACATATATACACATTAAAGTACATCGGAAAAGTATGTATGTCAATCATCCGACAACTGCATTGAAGTATCAGATTTTTTTCCTAAGACTGTGTGGAAAATTAGATGGAAACAATTTTAGTTTCAAAAAAACTTGAGATCAATTTTAGAAAGAAATCAGCTAAATGTGTATGATTTGAAAACCATGTCATTAGGTTCGTTAGCAATTAAGTTCATCGATTAGAGACACAAAATATAATATCAATGAGGATTAAAAAGTCATGAAGCATTGACCTTTGGAAATTCCAAAGGTTATGTACTCTATTATACCACATTGTGCAAGAGGAACTACCACTTTTTTCGAAAATTTTGAAAAGTGCAATTTTCAGTAGACAAATTTATTATTGCTGGTACTGTAAAGTATCGTGAAAAAAAAAGAAAACCGGTAAGTGAGAGGTATGTTCACACCAAATATGGGGGAATTTTTTTTGAAATAAGAATCTTTTTTAAACTGAAACTAGAATTTTCTTTAGAAAGAAATGAATCAGTGCACTGAAACTTAATAGTGCCCCTGCACTGAATGAAAATTGCCCGAAAAGGATTTTAAACCATTGGTTTAAGCCTTTCAATTCTTTCATATCTTTAATCAGAGAAAGCTGAAATAGAAAGTGCGAGGAAAAGAAAGATCACGTGAAATTCTCAATAAAAAAAAAAAAAAATTGAATAACCTGCTGATTTCTCCTTAAAGTGACCGATTAACTTCAACACTACTTGAACATACATCTTCAAAAATTGACTTAAATAAATTTACGGATGCATACGATATGACATAGAGTCAAGAAAAAAATTGAACCACAATTCTTTTTTTCTTATATTCATCTCTGCTAATATTTCACCTTCAGCAAAATATTACATGCATTGTTCATCGTATCCAACAAACATCACGGGAATGAATAAACTTGCTGCCACTTACTTCTTTCACCATATCTATAGGCTTCTGTCACTTCTCTTCCGCTTTTATTATCTAAATGAAACATAACACGATTTAATTAACCGATATTTTTTAAAGTCTGATCATTCATTCATTCTACCAATATTTTTCCCTTCATTCTTTTTATTTATGTGTATTTTTTCACTTCATTATTTCATTTCTGCTACGTTATGGATTCATTTTTACAGTAGTCTTATATCATCTTGAAGTACACAGCCAGTGAAGAAAATGAGAATATAATTTTGATTATATAAGTGTTTAAATCGTTAATTAGCTCATTGAAAGATGAGTCATACTCTATTTACACTTCTGAAAACTAGAGTTCTTATTTTTTTCGAACTAATTAATGTCCCGTACCTATTTTTTGCTTCAAATGCAAAATTAACATGAATGAGAAGGTGTTACGGCACGAAGATAGTAAGTGACAATGGGCATTAGTCAGTAATATCATAATATCGGGCACTTTACCACATAAATTATGAATTGCAGTATAAAGCGCATTTATTTTTCAATGACTACCAATTTATATAGTATGTTTGGAATAAACAATACGTATAAAGAAATGGAAATAACAAACGGTTTGCTATTAATTATGTCAGTGATTAGTGTCGAGAATAAAAAGTGAATGCAGATAGTAAAAGTTCGGAAACTAATAATTAATTCTTAAATAGAATGTTCAAAAAGAATATGTAAAAGCCAACAGTTGTATATAGCGTCTGATATGATATGGTAATAATTACTCAGTGATTATTGACTGGAAGCATTTCATATTCTCGATGACACAAATATTGAAAAGGTGAGGGTGAGGGATTGTTTTGTGAATGCTTATGATTGTATTTATTTTAATTCACTTGTATCATAACATAGAAAAGAGGAAAGCAAGGAGAGAAGAAATTCTATCCAATCATAGCTGAATTATATAGTTTGAAAGTTTTGATATACAAACAAGCAGCATTATTAACAAAATAAAAGTGTGTAAGGTGATGAGAACAGGTAAAGATAATATTTTGGTTCTTCAGGATTGTTGCAATTTTCAATTCCACGAGGTTTTATGAAGATTCTTGATCTGACGGAAACTTATTAAAATATCGAGATTTCTCGGTTATGTCACAGGATGTTCTTTCACAAACAGGGAAAACCTCTCTTTCTCTCCGTCCATCACACTATTCCTTCTCTTCATGTAATGATGTTTACAATTGCTCGCTTCTTTGTGAAATTCTCGAAGTGCTAAGGAATACCATGCAAACGACCAGTTCCGAGTGATAAATTGATGCAGAGCGTTGTAGAGATGAATCGAAGGGTGAGTTCAGTGGGAATAATATCAGAGGTCATTCCTTCAGTGATCTCTAACAAATGACCTCCCGACAGGTGGCATAAATCTGCGCTTCCTTATCACGTCATTACGAGCATTTCATTATACTACTTCGTATCACATCCAACACTGAGAATTTTCGAGTGATAGTGCGTAAGACACTGTTGCATTCAGCGTTGTTCACTCATTTTTGATACGAAGTAGACTGAAGAATTATTCTCATCTGAAGTTTGTTTATTCAGAAATTCTGAATGGGAGCAAAGATTAGTAGTGAAACATTGATTGAGGAGAATACGTATCTACGACGTTTCGTTGGTTTGCAACCGATTAGTGATAATGACCCATTCTGGAATCACTTCCTTTCCTTCAACTTCCTCATCGATTCTAATAACAGGTTACTCTTTTCTTCATTAATACAACATGAGACGAACCAATTATTGATTAACTGTATGTTGGAAAGTTAGACTGTTATCGGTTGTTTTTCCTATGAAACACTTAATAGTTTTTTGCTTCAGTTGCTATATACACTTTCCTTCTGGTTGACGGTCAATGTATGTTTAATACAAAAAATTTTAATCCTTTTCATTCAGAGAGTGTCCGTTATGCTATTTTATTGGCAACACTTTTTGTTTTTTTAAGAAAGGAAGTCGAGCAGTTTGATATTTCTTTATCGGATAGTCTCCAGTCGCTAATGTATAATACACCAACAACTTGTAATTTCGCGTCATTTATTCATGTCCTTCTCAGACGGACAGCAGAACTGAAAGCTTCGGAAATTTACAACAAGTAAAGAAGTTCGCTGTTGCTCTCTAAATCAATTTTATTAAAGAATTATGCTAAAACTTAGAATTTCAGCTTTTTTCCTTTCGAGATATCAATGGAAAATAATGTAGTCTTTTGATAATGTTTATACCGTTTCATTACCAAGCATTGCATGGAGTTTTGCAGCACAATTTTTCTTTGGCAAACAGGAAATGCGTTAATCATCCTTCGGCATATTTGCAAGTTTTTAGTTCAAAGACTTAGCGAGACTGAATTTATCAAAGTTTTTCACATGGATAAAACCTATTTGGGAAAAAAAGATGGTTAGTGATCTGATTCCTTGCGCATTTTTCCATTTTTAAATGAATCAATGATTTAGAAAAATATTTAATCATTTTTCTGTCATTTTCAAGTCCTTCTTTGAAGTAATTTAAATGTAGCAGTTTTAAAAACAAATTATAATTGAAACTCATGCTTGTGTTTCTTTAGCCTATGATTCTGATTTTGAAGAGGAATTTGATGGTTTATGTGAAAACAAGGCGGAAGAGTTACTGGATACCCTGGTGGATATTTTGGTTGATTTGCCTTCCAAGTAAATTACATTATTTTCTTTTAAAACATTGCCATTGAAAGATAAAATTAAAAAAGAATTGATACACCTTATATTTGTCATATAATTTTTAGTGATTCCACGGAAACGATTCACATTGAAGCAGTAAAGTGCTTAATGGTTCTGCTCAGTTCGCAGCTTTATGATGACGACGTCATGAAATCAAATATTTTTTACAGATATCTAATGCAGGGCAAATGGTTAGCTTTGCAGTTTGGTTTCATAGTTTAATCCATGTTCATTCAATAGGTTTTATGAAAATTGATATTTTTTTTTTAGCTCAACAAGATCTTTGGAGCTTAGTCTGGCCTTAATATCAAATTATCTGCAACGGTATACTCCATGCGCCGTTAAACATGATAGGGAACCGGAAAGTATTGTTCTGGGTCTTGCAGGTTTTTCTGATTGTATCTTTTTTCTTTAAAGATGAACCAGATGTATAGTGCCTGTTGAGGTCTTGACTTTTACATACTGTGCATATCAGTACTTACGATATTAAACTAGGAATAACTTCATATTCTTTTTTTTTTTTTTTTGTTTTCAGATGGCACTAATTTTGTCAGTGTTATTTATAGCATAACTTCTGTTTATTTAAGCGTCCGTTTGGTCAGCGGTGCAAATTGTTACCGGTATGGACGATTCGAATTCACTTAGCAATGACAGCGAAATTATACCGCCTGTTTCTCTTGGATCGTTGTCTGTGCTTCTCCTACTTAATCTGGCATGTCACCAAGATCCGGAAACGAAGCTAAATCCTTATAAAGAATCGCTTTCGAAGTTCCAAAATTCTCAAGGTAATTAATGATATTAATAATTAATGATCTTTGACGCAACTGTTACATTAATGTCTGTTTATAAATATTGTTTCAGATTCTTAATTCAAAAACTTGTAAAATCGGGACATCCTTTATATGATTTACCAAACTCTTTAATAATTAAGACTGATTGATTTTGTCAATAATTTTAGTTGATATTTGAGTACATAGTGAAATTAGTTTATCAGGATATTTGTCAAATCAGTCGTAATATTAAAGAATTTGGTAGAAATGATAACTTCATATGAAGGATACCTCGATTTTATAAATTTTTGAGAAATTAGGGTTAGATTTTAAGATGGATGTGTATATACAGCTTATAACTTCATGTTGGGTATGGTTTTGCCGGATTCTAGTCATTAACATTCAAGTTTCCTCGTTCGTTAATGTTGATATTCTAATTTTCAGAAGTTTCATCGCTGAATAACAGTGAAACTGGTACATTCAAACTAGACTACAGTTTGTTATATGAACGATTATGTGCTACAGTAAATCAGCAGTCGCCTATGTTGTTTCTGTACATATTGTTGCATAGGAATGTTGGCTTTCGAAATTATATCCTTTCAAGAATCAATTTGGAAAAACTGGTAAATTACTGTGATCGTTAATTTTGGAACTAATTAGCAAAATTAATGGATTTAGAAGGTATATGTTTGATTGGACAGATTTTAAGATCTCAAACTTCAAGCACATCTTAAATTATCTTAATCTTAAAAGAAGCATCTTAAATGCTTTGGTACTGCTTCTTATCGCTGGGATTACTTCATTACTGAGAAATTCCTTTGCTTTAGGTACTACCAGTACTGATTGTTCTTAGTGATGGAGCTCAGAGCAGTGGTATGATTAATTCATACAATGCACATCATGTATATTTAGCACTTATTGTTATCCTGATTCTTAGCGAAGATGACTTTTTCTGTAAAGTTGCCCATGAAACGGTGAGCATATTTATTTTTCACTTCAATGCAACTGAATCACAATGTGATTGTACGAAATCAAATTTTGAAAAGAACTAATGATTTTGTTTTTATATTTATCGATTTCGTGCTGCATATTTTTTAAAAAAATTTGCAGATGATAAAGAATACAACGTGGTTTAATAGCGAACGTCCATTGGGAGAGATTTCACTGGGTGGTTTAATTATTTTAGTTTTTGTTCGTATTATACAACTCAATACTTTAAAAACAAAGGTTTGCGTTAGTTAGAAATGCATGTGTAAAAAGATATCATGTAATAAATCATGAAAAGTTCAGGAAATTTTATGCATCTTTTGTGTAGCGTCTTGATTTAGGACAACTTCCTTCAATGAGTTGTGAACAGAATATATCATTCGTGTAAATTTCTTTATTAAATCATTCATTCATTTATCCTACCTAAAGCACTACTGCAATCTTTAAGATCAGATCAGTTCTCTATTTATGCAATACTTTATCTTGCAGAAGAAACCAACCTTTATGTTCAGTGTGATTTCCGTTTCTGTTCCATTAATTTAATGTTTTTCCAATTTTCATTCAAATACTGTCTAATATTTATTCATTTTTGCAGGATCGTTATCTGCATACAAATTGTCTTGCAGCTTTAGCTAATATGTCTTCCTATTTCAAAAATCTCCCATCCGTTGTTTGTCAAAAACTGATCGGATTGCTTGAGGTACAAAATTTTTGAATGAAAATTTGCAAAAAATTAACTTTAGGACTTGCGTTGATTTTCCAGCCAAAGATTTTTACTCGATAATTTAAATTATCATTTGCGTTGTTAATAATCCATTGTTATTCCTTATTTTCTCAAATACGAATTACGAGTTGCTGTAATGATTTCATTTGTTTTGTTCATTTCTAGCGATTACATAAATTCTGGCTTAATAGTTCAATTGAGTGCATCAAAACATGGCTCATTTTTATTTCTTATAATTTTACGATGAATTAACCTGAATATTAACCGATTTTTTAAAGGTTTTTACTCGACGACATGCAAAACTAATTGAAAATATGCGCGTCAGGGCTGAATATGATATCATTCAGGAAAAGGAATCGCATAATTATGTAAATTTCCCACATAATTTTCATTTACTATTTCATCTACAAATTATTGAAGTAATTTTGTTTTATATATCAGTATCTTGTAGCATAAGGATATAACCGCTTTGGAAGAAGGTATACGTACTTTACTCGAAATTTGCAACAGCTGCCTTTCTTCAAATCTTCGTTCAAACCCGCATTTCATTTACACAATACTTTATAAACGTGATCTGTTTGATGCTTTTCAAAATCATCCGATGTTCCAGGATTTGATTTGGAATATTTGCGCAGTAAGGAAATATTTTACATCTCTTCCAATATTTCAATTTTGCTTTTAAACATTTCATAGTTTTTTGATTCGAAACTGTGAAACACCTCAATTTTTCTGTTTTATCCATCAGTTTCAGGTTATCAATCACTTTGCATCACGAGTGCAACTTCTAGAAAGGGGATCTTCAGTGAGCGCTATTCTTGCTACAATTCAAAAAGGAGTACTCCACTGGCCTACTGATAGGTTCGTTTCGTTTTTTAATCTACATCTGCTTACGTTCTTTTCAAGTACGTGCTTGTTTTGTTTTTACAAGTCTAGAAATGCGAATATGTTTTTGTTGAGAGTTTCTATAAGTTTTTATGAAAGGAAACTTAAGTAAAAAATTTATCACTTGAAGCATGCACATCATTAGGCTTTTTTAGCTCTGCTCAGATAAAATCGTTCTAGATCAACTTCACAATTTTTCGTAATAACTACTAGCTGTAATTTTTGGATCACAGTTAGTTCCAGTTTGATCCATGAAGTTTTTTATCATGTGTTTTGTCATTTTGAAATTTTATTATTTTATAAACTCCTGCAACTTTTTAAGAATTTATTTTTTTCAGGCTGAAAAAGTTTCCAGAATTAAAATTCAAATACGTAGAAGATGACAATACAGTGGAATTTTTTGTTCCATATGTTTGGCGATTAACATTCCAGTTCTCAACCTTGTACTGGGATGCAACACGTATCCGCCTCTTCAATACTTCTTTCCTTACGTGATGACATTAGTTTTTTATCTTTTATAAATCACTATTTTATTGTGAACAGATTCTCCCTTAAAAACTGAGGAGATTTGTTGTTACTGGCATGAGCAGTTCTGTTTTCTAATATCATTTGGTGCTTAAAATATCTTTTAGTTTTTTGCATCACTTGAAGTGCTTAGTTCCATTGCCGTTAGTGAATTGTTTCATTAACCAAAAAGACTTCGTTTTATTATATATCGAAAAATTGTATGCACTGTTTTATTCATTAACGAATTTAATTTAAAATAATATTAAGACTTTAATTTATTACTTATATTCATCCATCCAAATGACATTCTAATGGTTTGTAGTATTATATTAGTCTCGAGAAGATTATTTTTGAATTGCTTTTGACGAATTAGATTCTTCTAAAGTAATCCATAACCTTCTTTTGTTTCAATTACTGGCTGGAAAGTTGTTTTCAAATGAATCGGTGGATCTTTGTCATGAATGCAATGCAAACGGTTGGGTTTATTCTATTTGACTTTATTACAGTTTAAATTTGGTCAATCAATATGCAGATGAACTGATGAATCACTTATCCTTTGTTGTTTTCATCTTATGTATAATTTATTTGACTTAAGGTATGACTTGTATTTTATCTGGGAAATAAAGTTCGCCGTAGTGCTTTTTTGTTGTTTAACATTATTTGTAGAAACCTTAAAGTGTTGTTCAAGTTGCAGTAGGTTTTGGTTTAATTTCTTTTACAACCCGTTAACGGTAATTCTAGAAGCATGATATGGATATCTTTTCTGAAGTGTCCTGTCTATTTAGTTTTCTAATCTCAATTCTCCTGTGGTGTGACCGGTTAGCTAACACTGGAATGTCAGATTTCTTTGGAACAATGATTCTAAAAGGAGAAGTTTGCTTAAGGAAATACTTTTGGTTATTTTTCTTCGAAGTCTTGGGGAGTTTCATACAGCCATTCTTACACCTGTTACTTGTTACTTTTGTTACTTTAATATATAAATACAAAAATATGGAGAGATAGTGTTACTTTGCATTAGATGCTTTTATGAACCATTAACTGAGAGATTTTATTTCACATTGCAAAAGCTACAGTTTATATTTTAATGAACCGGTGAATCATTATCATGAATGCAAAATGCATGAATGTCATTTTAAACGATTTAGTTCCACGTCAGATGTTTTTGAATTTTATTCAAAATCGACCTATTTTGATAAAAAACTGATTGGTAAAAGATGTGCTGATAATTGCACCTGTGATTTGACAATGAAACACTTTTGGAATTCTGCGAAAAGTTCCTGATTATTTTGCCATTGCTTTATTTGCAGAGGACTCATTTCTGAACTTGACACAGTTCGATAATGGCGAATGAAGTTAATAAGTGATGCGGATGACAAGAGAAGACAGTTATGCAGGCAAACATAGAAGGAGTTCGTCTTCATCGTACCATTACCATTTGACCTTGTGATCAGACCTACTTGGTGACGATTAAATGCTCGATAACTGAATAGTAGATAGGGATGCGTATGCCACTTGCATACCTTTGGATTGATTCAAAATGTAGTACTGTCTTGATCGATACTCTCAAATAACAATAATCCTCTTTAATTCTATTATTGTTAATTTCTAACTTATATTGTTTTTTATATTTGTCGCCATCCGCATTTCTATGTGAAACTGGATATGATGGATGTGATTAATGATGGGGATAATTCAATAATTGTCAACGATGCTTTTCGTAAGATCAATCCACATTCTCAGGCCATGCCAATGATAACTAGTTTCTACGAAAAATACTTTTAGCAGTAGTGAATTATACCGCAGCAACAATTAATTTCTTAATTCTAAACCCTAAAAATTTGAAAAGAAAGTAGAACTTTCTTTTCAAATTTATTTGTTTAGTGACGGTAATATAAACAAAGAAACGAGCGTGGTAATCTTTCACCTTGTTGATCGTATTCTTTTGTCTTCTCAAGCAAAACAGGCTAGGATTACTTAGTTGTTGCGTTTCTGATTATAAATTAGTACTTGATACTTGCTAATTATGTTTAAGTAAGTCAATTTCTTAATGTTTTACATTTAACCTTTACATTTTTATATGCTGTGATACAATAGAAAGATAAAAACAACGAGTTTGATCAATTGCTATGTTTTGTTAATTGGTGAACAGAATACATAATATATGAAAGTGGAGACAGGCGACAATTCTTTCAGTAGTTCATGGAAAATAATTGTAAACTGGTTTATTCTCCAGCGATTTAATTTTGCTTCTGAATCATTTCGTTTTTTTGCGTTGTTTTCACTTATGACTTTCAGTGGAAGTTAAATAGCAGTTACCTCAACTATTAAATTATTGATTTGACAATGACTTTCATTTTCATCATGTTTCAGAAAAATGTCATTCGAAACTTTAACTTATTATGAAATGCTATGTGCAGCATCGACCAGTTAAGCGTGAAATTCGGAAACATAAAATAGAAAATTGAAATTGAAACTGAAATCTTCCTTGAGATCAAACTTATTTTTATTATTACAGATGTTTGATCTACTCCACTCAACATTGTATTGGGTTCTGAAGACGTACATCGTTTATCGTATTGTCAGGACAGCTGTGGCACTTTGGTCAACTGTTGCAATATATGTTATTGCTCCGTTATTTTATAAACCTAACTTTGATCCATACAAAGGACGGTGGACAGGTTAGCTATCATTATAACCATTTTTAAAAATCTAAATTTTAATTTATTTCGAGTTGTGCAATTATGATTGAACATCTTATCTTCAATCTTTTTATCTATTTTCCAAGTTCATGCAATTTTTATAAAATAAAACAAGTGACCAGCTACATATTAAATCTGTAATGTTTTCAGCTGTTGCATTGTATGTGTGTCCATTAAGGCATGTTCGATTAAAATTTTAAGTTTACAGTTGTCACTGGTGGAACAGACGGTATTGGAAAAGCATACACAATCGAACTGGCAAAAAATGGATTACGCAAATTTCTCCTCATTGGTCGAAATGAAATAAAACTTCAAGGCATGAAAACTTATTTGGGTAGGAGTTTAATACAGAATTGATGAATTCTATTTGAAATTTTTTTTGGAAAGCAAATAGTTTCAAATTCTTGACATCTTTTCATTTCCAGAAATATTCCTAGTACTTTACCGTTTTAAATAAGGTTGTTCCGCATTACCTACTTAGTTACTTGGTGTAGTTATTTCTTAATTTATGATGACGAAAATTGCAGCGGTTTCGTTCCCTCTAATATGAGCTAAGTTGCTTTTTTATGATCGCAGAATATTCCCTTCTTTTGTTTTTTTTTTCTTTCCAATAACTTTCACCATCTTGAAATTCTTGTCCATAGCAGTATAATGTTGATAAATCAGTAAATTTTTAATAAGTTTTTAATGTATTTTCAAATTTTCATTAGCACCTATTATCGTTAACAGAACAAATAAAACATATGAATGAAAAATGAAATCAGTCGACTACTCTACACCGTTCCGATTATTAACGCTTGACACTTATTTCACATATGTCCAAAAACCTTTTACCTTCTAGAGGACAAGTTTGGCGCTCGCGTCCAAACGTATCTGTTTGATTTCTATGATGGTGATTATAATGAGATGAGAAATTTTATTGAGGATATCGATGTTGGTTTTGTCCGTAAGCATTTGCTATATTTTTAAGAATTCTAAACAGTTTTTCAATTTCAATAATAAAGATAGTCTAATATGACAGTTTTTGAAGCATTTTGAAGTTTCTTTCTTTCCAAATGATAAAATTGAGGCATATTTTGATGCATGAAATAATTCCTGACAGCTGCTGAAATTTGTTAAAATAGGTTATTTGTAGTAAATAGTGTTGGTGTTGGACGAGAAAGAATGGAGCGATATGGTGATAACCCTGAAGCTGATCGCAGACTGCTTAAAGTGAATGGACTAGGTGCTGCTGAAGTAAGATTGAAATTAACTCTTATGAAATTTCGGATTGTTATTAAGACTTTTGACAGCTTTTCAAATGTACTTAATTCGATGGATTAACGGATAATTTAGCGAAGTAAAAGATTTAATATAACATTTAATAAATCAAATTATATTCCAGTTCTTGTCAATAGTTTTACCAACAATGGAAAAGAATGGTGGTGGACAGATTGTTGTCCTGTCCTCTTGTCAAGGCTTTCGACCATTTCCGTATATTGCGTCGTACTGTGCCTCAAAAGTAGGCATTTTAATGATTCATTATAATCTTTTATCATTTAACGGTTTTATTCTATTATCTTTATCATTTAACGGTTTTATTCTCAGTTCTTTTACTTATCTCGTAAAAATTTTCAGGTCATGCTATCGTTCTTGTGTGAGGCAATAAATCGTGAATGGTCAACAGTAAAGGTTCAGTGCTTAACACCTGCGCTTGTAGCAACAAAGATGACACATTATGATAACAATTATAGATCATTGTTTGTGAAAAATGCGGATGATTTCGTAAAAGAAGCTGTCAATACAATTGGCTTAACGAGTATGACAAGCGGATGTCTTAACCATGAACTGCAAGTAATCATTGCAACAAACTTTTTATTTGTGAGTGGAATAAGATGGCTTAAAATTTCCCAAATGAATCAAGTGGAAAACATTACTGTATGTTGACTGATCGAAATCTTTTTATGCAATTTTATATTTATTTTTCCGAAGTGATGTTTACTGATGAAAGTGTTTTAAAATATTTTGTTGCTTTACCATCATGAAAAATTCTTTAATCTTGTTTGGCTAAACTGTCTGATCTTTTCAATTTTAGATGTTGACACGTCATATGTTTCCATGGACCTTATTGAAATATATATTATTACCAGTTTACTGGTATCATAAGCGCAGGACTGATGCATCACAAGAAGTCACAGCCGAGAACAAAAAGGTTTCACTTATCAGATTTTTTTTATTCTTCTTGACTATTTATTTCTGATTGTTTCATCTATTATTTAAATGAGTTCATGATTAATAAATGGACTTTGCAAAATAACCTTACCCGCCTTTATTTAATACCCTTACTCAGTGGCATAATGCTAGTTATGCACATATCTAGATTATTTAAGAAGAAAACAATGAAATATGATCTTTTAACATTAAAATTAGGGGCTGCATATTTTCATGTTGATAAGAAATATTTTTCTATTGCTGTAAATACTGCATTTGTTGTTTATTTGTGTAAATAATTCATGCAGTATAACTTAAAGCTTCTTTACAGGTTTATTAACTGCAAAGATGGAATATGGGTATAATGCAATAAGCATACGTAATTTCTCACTTTTCCAGCGGTGATTTTTTTAAAAATCGTATTCAGTAATGTATAGTATACATTACCATTTCCCCAAATTCAAGAGCTAACTCAGGGAATGTCATCGATAAAAAGTATTTTATTTCGGATTTATGATCATTAGGATTACGAAAATTCTTTGTAATTAGATTTTTATGTGAAACAGAGCAATCCTAAACCAATTTTTTAAATGAACCAGAATTAATATTTCTGCGAATTTAGTAGGGTGAGCTCTTTATTTGAAACTGAAGAGTTAATCTCAAAAATCAGAATTTTGAATTGCTTTTCTTTTTAAACGAACGTTTAATTCTGACGTTCGATTACGTATTTTACTGTTATTTCAAGCAATTGTTAAAATGGAATACTTTTGGTTGAAAAATAAATCAAGTGCTTCTCAACATTTTTTAAAAGCAGCGATCAAAATAAGAGGGAGAGGGAGAGAAACAGAAGATGAACATTAATATTGTGATGAAACATCATTAGTTAAATATTTTCTAGGTCAATATAACAAATATTTCATGCAGATTGCGAGCGAATCTTAGTATGAAGGGTCTTGCAGTAAGTGTTATTCAACAAAAATGAAGTCTGATTTGTTGCGATTCAGCGAAGTGAACATACTGAAGAAGAGAGCTAAACTGGTGTGAATGAAAACTGAATTAAATCCTGGTTAGCACCACTTAGTTGTAACAGATATTCCATTACTTTTTCCACCCAGATGAATCAATCTTGAAAAAATAGTTCTTTAATTGTTAACGGGTATACTCATTTTTTAAATTTATATTTTGGAATTAGAGGCGCTTCCAATTTCGGAAATATTTTTCCTATTGGATGATTAATCTAGCACTTATTTATAATTGATATTTTAGGTTAGAAAGCGCTTGAAATTACAATTGTGTTTAAGTTAGCAGCATGAATTGTATTTCCTCTGCTTTATGTACGTATAGAGAGAGGATAGAAGTTAGGAGATAACAGATTCAGATTTTAAGTCTTTAGTTCGTAACTTATTGATTTAATTACGATTCATTTTTAGTTTTGATTCGAACATGAATCGGCGTTTCTGTTAAATAAGATATGAAAGTGGAAGTACACAGTGTGCTGCGGTCATTATAAAATTGATAAACTCTGATAGCTTCTGATAATTCTACTTTCGGTTTAGACCAAAAACAATGTATTAGTCACCATATATTATATAAATAATTAAAATGATTAGTTTGGGAAACTTTCACAAGTTTACTGTTTTTTGAATTTTAACAGTAATTTAGTTATCCAAAAGATTAATTAATGCCTCTTTGCACAAACATCAAACATGATAAGAATTCCTTTATTGCAGCACCATCCCTGATAATTACTTTTTGTACAGCAGTATCTGCTTTTCGAATAGATGCAATTATGAAAATTTTTGTAACGATACTGCAACTTAAAAACTAGTTGCAGAATACATACGATTGGCAATTTTGGAGAAAGAGTTCGAAATATTTCATTCTCCAATAAAATATATTTCTTTCTCTTGTAGGTGTCGTGAAAGGTTTATCTGGTTGATATTCGAATAGTTGCAATACAGTAGGAAGATTAATAAACCTTTATTTTTTGAAAACGTGGTATGAATAAACCAAGGAATAAAAAAGAGAGAAAATTTATAATAAAGAAGAAGACCGTAGGAATTGCGTTTGGTTAACAGAGTAGTAGTCGACAATAATGACAATGATGATTGTTTTGTTTATTAGAATTGAATTTATATGAGTGAGGATTGGACGTGTTATCGGAGCAATTGTATGAAGAATTGGAAGTGTTTACAACGAAGAGATTAAAAATACATGTGTGAATACCGTAGGATTGTTTACAATTTAAAAAAGAGAGATAATTTATGATACTATGAAATTGGTTAGAAGTTTTCGCGAAATTATAATTCGCGACAGTAGGCTAGGAAATTCTAAAGAATATTAATCTCTAATATTTTATTAATTTTAATTTTAGCATCTTTTCTGGTTGAAATAAAAGTTTATCACTTTTCAGTTTGACAGATAGTAATATTTATTGGTAAGTGAACAATTGTTAATTAGACAGAGTAACAAGAAAAGAATTACCAAAAAATTTTGGTAGTAGCACACTAAGTTTAACTTTTGAATGTCGAAATGAGTAGTTTTTTTGACTTGCTAATTTTGAAATCCCTACATTTCTGACAAATTGGTCTTTCAATATCTTAAAAATCCAATATGTATTTTAATTCACAAGATCCATCCAATACTTGAATTTATTTCACATATTTAATATGTTGATTTTTGGTTACAAGAATTCTTATATATTATTGTTGGATTTAAGTAAATATTTTTAGAATTTTGAAATTTTCTAATTATTAGTAGGTGATTTGTAAAATCGATTAAGTTCAACTTACATCAATTGTGACCAGCCATACAGGTAATGTTAGTTTTCATACCATTTATTTTTATGTTTCACTAAATGTGTTTTTACTAATTTTTAGGAAGTTGGCACACTTTACATGGGATAAGTGGACATTCCTGATTTTGATGTAAATATTTCAAGCAAACAAGACTGTATCATCAGCGTTAAGATATTTCAAAATTACTTTACTAAATTTTTAAATGAAAATCAGATTTTCCATAAATATAAGATAGAAAAGAAATATAAATTTTGCGAAATTTTTTTTCTAATTATTATTCTATTGTATTTAAATAAGATTTCTCCACATTACTCATGTCATAGATATTTCGTCGATTCATCGACATCACCTGTAGTTTCGCGATACTGCTCCGCCTGAACAAATAGTTAATTAGTTTCAAAATGATAGAAAACTTTCCTGAGATAGATTAACAATTACAGCGATGTTATATGACTAAAGAAAAGCCGCTTTTCTCATTTTAATGCTCGAAAATGGTGCAAAAGTTTCGTTTTTTTCAACTTTTGTCAACTTTTTTTTTTATAATTGTTTTTACATTTTAAGGTCAAAATTCTTTCAGGAAGATTTTGTACATACCAGTTTCTGTTATGTAAGATGTTTTTCTGAAGACAAGGAAAGACTGATTGAATGGAAAATACTTACTTCCTCGGCCGGTGATGCAGAATTATTTTTGGAATCGGAATTGTCTTGAAGCGGCTCACTGCAAGGGATCCAATACTTAATACTGAATATTGAAACATAATTTAATACTTACCATTGAAGATTAAAGCTGTTTTTCTTAGTAGGGAAAAAGTTTGCAGGTCAATAGATAACAAGATATACCTAATAGCGCAAATTATTCAAAATTTGAAAATAAAGGACCTACTTGTTAACTTGTCTCGATTCAGGAGGCACAGCTATCTGTTGTTCAAATGACCCTTCCCCACGAACTCCTTCTTTGTCTAGAAAACAATTATCTGATTTGGAATGATAAATTACAATTTAAAAACATTCAACAAATTTCAACTATACTTAGAAATCAATGGCGTCCAGGATTAAATGACTATTAATCTTTAATTTATTAGGTAAAAAAAATCAAAATTTCGAATAGCATACGTATTTTTATGTATTTATGAATGACTGTTTAAAAGCCGAATTATTGGTGATGTTATGCTGCGCAAAAAAAAAAAAAAAAAATGTTTGACATCTGTGAAATTTTTACATTTAAGCCTCAATAATGAAAAGCCAATTAAAATTTTCAACCTCGAAAAGATACCTGATTTTCCCGCAATTTGACCCTTTTTTTGTAAGTATCTGAAAAACGTTTTTATGGTTTACTTAGATAATATAAATAAATTACAAAATTTGTTTAAAATGCATTACCTGAAGTGAGTTATCCATGAAAATTTCTGTCTTTATTCTTTAAAAAAAAGAACTCATGAGAGGGGAGATAGACAAATTTAATTAGTTACTAATATGTTTTACAAAAATTCCTGGAATTGTGATGTTTCCTGCATTACCCTTCAAATTTCGTGCCTCCCACTGTTTAAAATTCTCAAGTTTCAATTTATATTTATCCATAACATAAGGATTTCTTCAAAACATTTCGAATATGAATTCACTAAAATTAATCAAAATTCAAGCTTTTAAATTCCAATTAGCACGTACTGCTTGTACTTTCTGGTAACATCTTCAGTTTTCATGTTCAATTCCCGTTCACGTTTTCCACGTGCTTTCATTTCCATTGGTTTCTGATACGATCTTCTGCGATTTTGCTGCATTTCTGCATTTGAGATATCTAAAAACATTAGTGAATTTGAAATGCATGTCATATTTTGAGGTATAAATAGGAAAGTTTTGATACTTCCATTAGAAGACGATTATTTTGATTGTCCAGTCCAATAGTAGTAATAATAATGTAGTAATTAATAATAATAAGATGGAAGAATCAGTCAATTCAATAAGCACTTGTGGATAAATATATCATAAAATTGAAGTGAGACTAAGCATTGTCATGCAACACTTCAACTCTTGCTAAGATAAATCTTTGCAATATTCCTGCTTCTAATATTATTTTCTTTTCTATCTCCATGTGCAGCTGTATTGATATATAAGATAAAAGTTAACAGTTAATTCTCTCTCCTTATTTCTCGACATTTTTTTAAAGCGGTAATTAGCATTATTAATTAAATCACACTTATGCTCTTCGGCTCTTTGACTGTGTTTGATATTATTAACGCATAAAAGCACATTTTCTTGATATTATAAAAAACATCAAATGAAGTTTAATCCTTTTTAGATTATTAAATCAAAAGATAACTTCCTTGTCATTTTTTTTTTTTTTTTTTGATTCTTTTCTCAGAAATATTTACACTTTCTTAAAATTGAATTAAATCCACTTTATAACAGCCAATTAAGAGAAAACTTAGGAAAACACTGTACGTCTTGAATAATTTTGAACAGAAGATAAATTGAAATAGATGATCAGAACCACTCCGAACGAAGCAGTCTATAAATAATGATTTATTTTACTTTCATAGAGTTA